AATTATAAAAAAACAATTTCACGCTGGCCTCAAAATGTTCAGTCTCACAATAAGCTATTGCACACGTAGTTTTAAATGTTTCCAACGAATCTCATACTAAACTTCTCAATGTTTCAAATGTGAACCTTCTCCCTAACACAAGTGCTAAAGTAAATAAACAACATGCCTTCAGGAATAATTAAATGTGGAGTAAGGTCGGAGAATGCCTCACGTAGGATGTAGGTGTAAAAATATTTACAAGATCCATGACATGGCTGCGTACTATCACCGATAGGCAGTCAATTCAGTTAATAGCTCTGCATCGTTATTAGATAATATACCCGTTCATTAAAAACCAGGTTCAATAACATACGAACGAATGCGGGACGGTGCGGTCAACATATTGAAAAGCATGCGTGAAGAAGCATCAGAAATGCAAATGTTGACAATGGATGTGGGTCACTGATATACTGAACGATTGAACACGTGTTGATATAAAATTTTCGGTCACTGAGGAATAAGAAAAACTTCATTCAAAACATAGTCATAGTAATGATATTTGGTCCAAGACTTCACCGTTCCATAACGAATAAATGCGAATTTCTGCAATCGAAATGAGCCACTACATATTTTTAGTGTAGCAAAAAATGTTAGTGTTTTGATGGATGTAGATCTGAGATTTGAAAAATTCAATTAACCCCTACAACGTGCCTATTCTGCACTGAAAATCATCAGTGGTAAACGACATATTCTGCCTTATCATGTAAAAAATCCTTATGTGAATCTTTGGTGCTTTCAGTTTTCAATTCTCTAATTTAATGCCAGTAAAATTTGGAGATTTCTCGTACAACGAGCTGGTATGTTTTGGGATCCTGAGTAGGTTACCGTTTCTAGAAGGGGAATGGTGCATGTCTGAATTCAAATATTTTGGAAGTGTAAGCATTCTACTCTTCCTAAAGTGATTTTTACATGTTTCATTATGTGGAAGATTGTATATGAGTCGTATAATTTTTTTNTACGTATTTTGGCCTACACCTGCCGATATAAAGGATATGTCTCCTAGTGACCTGTCTACCTTCCTGGAAAGGACAGGATGGACGGTGACCTAGGTGGACAACTCCTCGGGAGGATCTGGCCTAGGTGCTGTGGATCTATACTCACCCTCCCTACTCTACAGATACAGAGATACAGGTATGCTTTCACTATGAAGGGTTTTACAAAACACACGACACGTGTTTCGCTATACAGTAGCTTCCTCAAGTGCTATTGTATAGCAAAACACGTGTAGCGCTTTTTGTAAAACCCAGTATAGTGAAAATTATACAATAAAGTGTATTACTTAGTTCTATTACGGATTTTCATCAAGTATCGGCTAGTTCTATCCAATTACGAAAGTACTCCTTTAAATATTTATACAGGTGGGGAGTATTCAAATCATTTATTGAAATTATTCATTCGTGTTCAAAAACAACATCCACATCGAAATCATCTACGATAAATTTCCTCTCAGATGTAATTTTAAATACGCATGTTGGAAATATTTGCTAATTTTTTATATTAAATTTCCACTGATTCTGATCTGACGAAACCTCTCAGGAAAAAAACGACTTGTTACTCACACCGAACTCCACGAATATAAACAAACTAAAAATAAGTTGCAGAATCAGATCGCACGCCAGATAAAAATAATCTACCTTGATTGTAGTAGCCGACCATAGTTTCTTTTTCCTGAACCGATTACGAAAATTCACTGCGATTAACACATTCCATCGGCACCTGTCACTCAATGGATGCACCTAGCACGCGTCTCACCAGGCGTCCCGACGCTCTTTATCCGGAAGCGCGGCCAACTAAGACTATCGCGATTATCTACTGTGAGCCTTCTGAAACAGCTGAAAACTCGCGCAGGATTTCTCTGTGCAAAACGGGAAAATAGCGAATTTGTGATGAAATATGCATGTTGGGTTATCAATAGGCCGGATTGGAATGTTTTTTCATAGTTCACAAGGTTCACTTGATTTTATTGATACCTATGATAACCTACAGCTAGTTGTTCGGTAATATCAGAGGCGCACAACTCATACTGAGTATTTCTCTTTATGCGTAAAAACGATAACAAAGTTGAGATAAACTTTTGGGAAAGAAAGTTCTTGGTTTTCTGCTACTCCATCTTGATACAGAAAAAAGGATGAGGGAATCTTCTAAAGAAAGGAAGGAAGTAATCAATTTGAAAATAAGTAACTCTATACATGGATGTGTAGATCATGCAAAGAAGTAACTTTCAGACACAAACTGAAAGAAAGTCCTCCTGAAACAGCTACT